TTCTAACTAGGTTATAGCCCGACCGCGCACGCAACCGAGGCACTGATGGATCGCGACATAGCATATTTAATTCAGAGTGCGTCCGCAGTTATGATGTACGAGCGAAGCAACGACAGAGAAATCGCGTATTACCCTTGCATGGGTCCGCGGTGCGCCAGACCCGACCGACTGTGTTGCAAAAACGTCGAGATAAAGATTGTATCGACTACTTCGACATTCGATTCTGAAGGCCTAATTGAATTACAGAATTTATATCGACCGCTCGCCAGGTTGCGGGAAGCGAGCATTGCGCGCGCAGGGGCTCCGCTAGCCTAGATCAGATAGCGCGCTGACCGCGGTCGGGACGTCACCAGTCAACACGCACGGCCCCGCGACGAAGACGGATTTCTGTTTAAGTAGCGGGCGGGAACCGCTGTTTGTTCACGGGTAGATGACGGGGAGGTGACGTAATGGGGTGTTGAGCGTTAACTGGAGGATCTGGTCGGTCGCTCGCTGGCGAGACCCGAGTTTTCCGTTATTCTACACACCTGCTTGCCTCGAATTAATTTTCATGCCGTTTAGAAACACTTAGATACCGTTTCCTAGGCAGAAGACTATTAAGGTTATTAAATCAAATCAATATTATTAAGTTAGTTTTTTTCTGAAATTGCTCCCTGATCTGCATTCGATTAAAAATAATTAATGGTAAATTATTTTTTCTTTACAGTTAATTCAAGTAAAATAACTGAGCAAACACATTTTTTCTATTAAAACGTAAAATAATAGTTGGATGCTACAAGAAATATGAAGGCTCTAATGAATTGTTTGAGTGCTTGCGAGTAAATGACGAAATGCGGGAAATGAGTGGTGTTCGTTTGTAGTTACAATTATGGGATTTGGTGTTGATTAACAGATAAAAAATATTTTTATTTTCCGTTTGTATACATAAAAAGTTGAAATATTGCGATGCAATCCTGGCTCCGAACCTCCTTTTCAGGTAGCCTATTCAAGAATCCCTAACGCCTCAGCAAATATAAATTCGTACAGCTGGTAGGCGGAAGGTCGTGTGGGCGAGGAGGAGGCGCGAGGGCTCGAGGTTGCGGTAGGTCGGCGACAGAGCCCACGCGTCCCTTGGGAACGCCCGCCGCCCACGTCGCCCTCACCGTCTCGGAACCTCCGACCAACGGGAACCGATCGCTTAGCCACAAGATCATTTTCCGCACTCCATTGCTTCAATAGTCCCGAAACTAAGTTTAATTTTGAAGCTGACAGTTTCAATTCGTAAGACAATTTTAAAATAATTACTGTGAATGAATATAATGTTCTAAATGTCTGCGAATCTTATAGGTCTCTGCAAATACGAATTTGTATACTAATTGAAATGTGTAATAAGGCTAAATATAACACTTAAAAGAGGGAAGGGGTAGAATGAAGGCAAGCGATGGGCAGAATTAGACGATGAAATTTAAGTTTTCATATACTTCTATTGCATGGTGTCGTTTCACGGCTGTTTTTCCGTGTTATTCTGAACAGCATTCTGAAATAATGTTTTTGAATGCACAACTTTGTACTAAAACCGCGAGCGATTCGAATGAAAACACGTATTCATGTACTAAAAATAATCCTAAATTGGTGGTAGATACGTTCGTCAAGTTGAAGAATGTACTGTGAGATTTGAAGATGGTTAACACCTTCAATAATTTTGTATCTGAGATATCACATCGAAAGGTTTTTCAGAAAAAGTGGCGAACGGGGTTTAAGAAACTTTCTTTGCAAATATATAAAACTATATGAGCAAAAACCTTAAATATTACAACGGATCCTCAAATGGTTAGAAATACATACGTAGATTCCCTGTTATTGAATGTCTTCGCTCTCTTACAAAATAGCTTAACACTTGTATCATGTTGTCATATTTGGCAGAATCCCAGTCAATCTCTTAACCTAGCAGAACGAAATAGCACCCCGTACAATGCAGGAAATTAGAAAAAAGAAACTTTTTTCAAATCAAATACTAAACCAATAATAAAATTAAAATTATTAATGTTGATCAATAAAAAAATTGTAAAGAAATGTTCAGGAGAGTCAGCACAAGAAGCGAATGACATGAACTATTTTTTATGTTATTAAAAATGGGATTCTAAAAATCAAATAAATTTTAGTCACAGATAATACTGATGGTATACAGCTAATTTTAATGTTATAGAAAAACGTTTCCAGGTTTTCACAAAAAATTAATAGATTAATGTTAATTTTACGACAAATGAAATATTAAAGATTGAAATATAAAATGAATTCTTACATTAAGGCAAATGCATTCAGAAATCATGAAACGCGTATAACACACAGCGTGTGGCTCAAGGCAATAAAATAAAAGTTCTTTAATAAAAAGAATACCTAACCAAATTAAAAAAAAAAGAATTCTAACGAAAAAATACTTATACAAAAACTAGAAACTGAAAGCCATGTAGTGTTTTTATTAGAAACATTATTTTCGACAAGCTGTCTCTTAGACACCGTAAATGTGAAGAAAATAAGAAAACGTAATCAAAGTAATCCTGAAGTGGTTGTATAAATGACAAATGTTGAGGTACCAAGAACATGCAAGTAAAATATTTAACTATTCCAGAATTTGGATTCAAAATTAAATTAATTCATATTTCGATGTTTCTTGAGAAATCATTCATAAAAATCTCGTAAATGTGATACGATTACATCTATACAATTTAGGTAAACAAATAATTATTAAATCATTCCTGGGAGGTATGGACAGACCATTTGCACGACTTTCCACAATCAAAATGAAAATGGAATAATAGGCATCATTGTATTCAATGTATTTAGAAACGCGCGTCTATATATACAAGTGTATAGCTGAGACAATTAATCATAAAAATGAATTGGATATTCTTTCTGTCCTATTGATTTTTTACGTCAGACAGCTATGACATAAGATATTCAATAAATTGTGAAAATATTTAATAATAATAATAATAATAATAATAATAATAATAATAATAATAATAATAATAATAATAAAATTATTATTAAAAGTAACATCACGAAGGAGAAGAAGAAAAGTGAGAATAAGTTTTTAAATGAACTCTATGACGTCCATTCTCTAAATTCGGTTGGAACTGTCGTCTTTTGTCACTAAAAATATAATTTCTTTAAAACAGAATTGATGGCTATGAAAAGTCAGTGGAAATGATGAATTTTGAAGATGAAGTTTCGGCATTGAGTTTCTTAAACATGGTGAATAAGAATTCAACGACATAGAATATTTTCACGTTATATCTGTGCATGTAGTGATCCCGAATTCACAATATTTTGCATGAAACCGAATTGCGTGTAGAATTCAATGCGATTGCTGGAAATAAAATACGACATGTCGGTGGAAGCCCGTTTCTTGGTCCCATCTGTGGTAACACTGGCAACATGTGTGCACGTCTGTGCGCAGCTCACCTGTTTCTTGCGCCTCCGCCGCCCGCGCGGGCGGTGCCGCCCTCGGCGCGGGCCCGTGAGCGGTTCGCGGGTCGCACCCGTTGGCGGGGCGCCGCACGGCGTCGGGCCACCCAGGGGCCCGCCTGCGCGCGCCGCGGCCCGCTCGCGCCCCTGCTCCTCCTCCGCCTCCGCCTCTTGCTCGGTCGCGCGTCCGCACGGCGGGGGCGTCCAGCGGCGCGGGCGACGGCGGCCGCGGCGGCCCGCGCGCGCCGGGCGGCGCGGGGGCGACCTGGCGCGTGGCGATCGGCGGGAGCCGCTAGGCGGCGGCGGCGGCCGGGATCGCGCAGCGCATGGCGGCCGTGCGAGCGGCGACGGCTTACGTGTCCTCACTCGTCATTGATTTTCCACGCGCGCGCGAATGTGGGCCGCGGACCGGCGCGTATCGCCCAGGCGGGCGCTCTCACCGCGCGGACGCGCGCGCGCGCGCAGCGCTATCTTTAGAGCGCCGACCGGTGGGAGCGCGTCGCGGCACACGCCAGATACTCCAGGCCGAGGCGATGCACTGCACGAGGCCACGGGTTCCTCCGAACAACCCCACGCTGAACAGCGTTGGCTCACAGAAGCAGTCACAGAAACACAAGCCCGTTCACCTACAGTCGCAACGTCAAATCTCTTGTCCGTTTGCACGACACCAATCTTCGGAGGCGATACGTTGTCCGGCGATTGTCTAGAGCCCTGCGTGAGAAGTAGTCTCGGATGAAGCTCATTAGAAGGCACTCACTGTAGAGCCGCGTAAGACACCACGCGACGCCGCACGTGTTATCCGCCCATCTCCGCGCGTCTTGCACGCGGCGCGTGCGGGTCGTTGACCGGGGTTGCGAGCGGAGCGGCAGCGGGAGCGGGCGTCGTGGCGGAGCGTCGCGGATGGAGCGCGTCGCTCGGTCCGCGCGCGTGTGCGGCGGGCGCCCGCGGCGGCGGCGGCACGCCCGCCACGCACGCCGCCCGCGCATCCGTCGGCCGCGCAGCCAGCGCCCCCGCCCCGCCCGCCGCGCAGCGCCCCGCCGCCGCCGCGCACATGCGCCGTGCGACGCGCTGCGGGGGCGCGCCCGCCCGCGACCCGGCGCGGGGTGGGCACTGTGGATGTAAACACGCCGTCCGTCGCCACGCGCGATGCATCTCCCGCGGCGCGCCGTGCAGCTAGTCGCCGCCGCCGCCGCCGCCGCTGCGCGCGCGCTCGCGCCATCTATAACCCCACGCGCCGCGCCGCTGTCCACGTCTTAATTGTAAACAAATACAAAAGCATACCGCGCGTAGTGAATCGTCTCCTAGATGCTAAACGGATATGCTGCACCATGCCAACGACGTAATTTGTGAATGTACACGAAGTACTGAGAACGTGCTCTACATACCGATGGTTTTCTTAGAGCCCCCCTTCGGTGAACTTCATTTTCGTGCCGAGAATTTTTTACGTAGCATACAAACGCTACTCAATCTTCAATGAGCGAAAACTCTTCTTCACCATTACCGCGTTATCCATTTTTCACCTGACATGGTATTCAACGTGTTGAGAACACGATATGCTGGATCTTCGCTACTCCTCAACAAAACGCAATTTAAATTTCACGTCGTCTGTTGTTTTTTTTCTGTTCGCCAGACGGAAAACTTCAAATGCACGTCTCTCCCGGCCAGAGAGCTCTGACGCGTCTCTACTCCTTACGAATGGCAATAGGTGCGGTCTCCATCGCGCGTCTCCCGTTTCCAAAGGCGCGTACATTCCTTACTCCGTCGCCGCATTGATTTATGTGTCCGTCGGTGGCGGTGGCGGGGGCGGCGAGGGCGGCAGCCCGGCGCTCGCAGATTCGGCGCGCGTCCCCGCCGCCGCCGCCGCCCGCTCACCTCGCGCCGACTGGCAGCTGGCAGTGCCCATAAATCCGCCTCCGCCGACGCCGTCGTCGCCGCCCCCGCTGCCGCCGCCTGCAGGTGCGTTCGTCCACGCGCGCCGGTCACCGCCCCCCCCCCACGCGATCTGGTTTTTCCACGGCCTTCCCACCTGAATGCGCCTCGTGGACACCCCTCCGAAGAGCGTCGAGGTCTCCGCGTGGACAGTTCTCATGAGCATTCCACAGCAATCCCATACAAGAACATGTTTGTAATTACACATGTGCACAGCATGTACGCTAGACATACACTTAACGTATTAAATATATTCCAGGCTTAAGACTCATTTTATACATTTTGAAAACTGTTGATTATTATTCACAGGGAATATTTTGCGCTTAAACGTGTTATTCATTAAATTCTAATAATTTTTTAGAATGATAAATTGGCTGCTTAAGAATTTTTACATAAATTATGTTTTACGGAAATGTGAGTCTGAACAGTTAATTATAACTAATTTAATCGCAATGTTCAACTTAATTTTTTAAGATAATGCTTACAATATTTATCCACAATGCTGAAACCGTATTTAAAATATGTTCGATACTTAAAATTAAAAGTTGGTATTTTCTTAATTAATTATTTTATATCGTTAAGTTATAAATCACTGTACATTTTGGCAGTAATTGGGGACAGAATTTGACAAGAAAATATTATATTTTTATTAGTTTTTCTTTGATTTTTGCAGATGTATACATTTACGGATATACGTCTGCATGATAATATCCAGAAATGATAAATCGGGTGCAATTAGAGGAGAATGATGCTAACGAATTATAACAAAACAGTGTAATTAGGTATTTAGAACGTTAAATTCTTCTCATTTCCCGCCCCTGTTCACAGAAAAAGAGCAAGACGTCACCCAATGTTTAAGTACTTCCGTTGCTGAGTTAACCGCACAGCAGATGGTCGCAAACTGGTAGGAGATCTCCCACACAAAACAAGGACAGAGTGAGTACCTCCATTGCATGTCATGAAACATCCGCATTTACAATGAATAGGGGGAGCTGATTAAAATTATTTAGATTTCGATAATGTTCACTAGATTAATTGAGATCCGTCAACAACAGTATTTTCTAACTAAAGGTTGTATATTCATTTATGGTAATGACATTTACGAAATGATACATTTTGTATGGGTCTTCCCGAATAAAAATTTAATATGGGTCTTCCCGAATTCGGAGTTATTAGGTAGATATCATTCTAAGTATAAAACGACAATAAATTACATTTTTTTAACATTTTTGATTGATCACGTTATTAATCGTGTTAGTAATATCCATCAATTACTGTATAATTTTTTTAGTAATATTATTTGCTAATTGCCTTGGTCTGTACAATTTCAGATTATGTTATTCGATTAAGCAATCCAGTTTCTTATCTTCATTGTCTTTTTTGCTTGATTTTGCCCCTCCCCTTTGCCCTGGTTGCTACAGGTGCCATCCTAGAATTTATATTCTGAAACCTTTATTAACGCAATCACGCCTTGCAGATTTTCCGGTGCGCGTGAGAATAAGCGCATCAGCGTCGCGGAGGGACGCCGCCGGCGCGGTCACGTTCCTCGGCGTACACGGCTCGGACAACGCGCCGCCGTTCACAGGGCGCCCCGCGCCGCCCGCCGTGAGCCGCCTGCTGAGGCGACACGTTGGCGCTGCAGAGAGCCGCCTCGCCCACGCGGCCCACGGGCAGCTCAAGAGGCCCTCCGGAATGGGAATTCACCAAATGAAGTCGAAGGGCTTGAGGCAGTAGCAGCGACATCCACACCACTCAAAGAAAGGCTCCCGTTATCAGTAAATATTAATATCTCCATGGTAATGTGTGCGTGTTTATATATATATATATATATATATATATATATATATATATATATATATATTCATATTAATAAAAGGCTTTGAGTAGTGAAAAAATGAGACACACTTCGAACAAATCCCAGATGTTAACATTTATATATAGCGGATGTTTGCTTTAGCAGTAGTTGTAGCCAAGCCCTTTCAATTGTAACTTTGAAATTAGATTTTAATTTGTTATGATCAGTAATGCGTTTTCTCTCCTTTCGAATTTTTGTTAAAAAGTTTTTAATATGGATCATTTCATTAAAATGGATTAATAAATTATATGCTTGAATGGAAAAAGATTGCACATTTAAATTCAAACCGGTTTCACTGCGTTATCAAATATATTATGCATATCCTTTACTTCTCCCAAAACCATTTTCAGTTAGCTTGTCACGTGAAATCCAAAGCATAAATTTATTTTTCTTAAAAATTAGCGTAATGTAAGGAAAACAAACATTATTTTCCAACTTTTAAGGTGCTAACAGCTTTACCATACAAATAAGACAATTAAAGCTTAATATAAACAAAACAAAAATGTTTTAATCAATTGGGGAGACGTCGCAGGATCTTTGCACAAAATTTTCTACGTCAACGCTATTGAATCTGGTATTCCTGCGAAACGATTCAATAAATAACGTCATTACCAACCGCTGGCAAAGACTGGTCTTGCTGGATGACATTGAGAAACCACTTTCATAAAAAATGTGAAGATAAAGAGGTATCTAGTTGTTCATGTTTTCTTCGTGTATTGAGTAGGCAACTTGCGAGAATGATGAGCGAAATTAAAATGTATTAAGCGATCACGATAAATTGAATCGCTTCACTTGTTTTGCTCTTCTCCTTAATTGGCATGAATTTGTCACGGACTATTAGCAACCACGATAACATTGCAATACAAAAACCGGCACAAGAAATCTTACTGCTTAAAAATAAACCACAGGAAGACCATTAATCTTCCCAACCTCAAAAAGAACATCGTCTAATAAACAAAACCATCGCTCATTAATTGCAGGAATCAACACTTCTATCGGAGAATCATCCGACAAAGACCCCGCAATATTTAGTTCTTATGTAACATGAAATCATTTTTTAATGATAACTGTTTCTGCGATGAAAATTTGAGAACGCCCTATAAAACATGCTCCAAAACTTATAATTAATACTGAAATTAGTCTAGTAAATTATAAACAAAGTAAGAATAGATGATAATGTTTCATCGTAATGTACATTGGTGTACATGATCTGTGTGTGTCTAAAGCTCTTTTAATTTTTGCCCAGGACCCAAGCAGCGAAGCGGCCGTGGCCGGCCAGCTGGTCGCAGGCGGCGGGCGACGATCCCGCGGGTGATAACAATAATTGCGGCGAGAAGGGGCGCCCGCCCTATCCGTCACTGTCCGTCATCGTTACCCGCGCGCATCTCATTGGCCGCCCGGGCGGGCGAGCTGCGTGGCCCCGCACACACAGAGAGAGACATGGCCGCTCGGAAATCAAGACGTCACGCGCAGTCGACAGCGGGGGCTGCCGCCTTTGCGCTCGTTAGGGAGCACGAGATAAACAAGGCAACCCGACAGCGGGCATGCGCTGCGCCGACGGCAGCCATGAAAAGGGAGGCGAACCTCCTCAAAATGTTTCGGTTAGCGACTTCGATAATGTTTGAGCACGTGTTCAAATTCGATCGAAGCTGTGGATTTTTAAGGATGAATAATTTCATCGAACGCCTTTCTTTGAAGGGGAAGTAAAGCAGCCTGTCCAATGTTGTAGATTTACTGCATGCTTGCACTTCTCAAACCCAAAAGAAACTTCTGAGCTCAATTCTAGTCACCCGAGTGATGTTTTCGCTGCTAGATGGCAATGGAACATGGCGAAATTCGCGTGGTCAGGCGGAAGAGCAGGCCTAATGATCTACGTTTAGCCATGTAAAATGAGGAGTCTTGTAACTGAGTCTTGTTGCATTGAAAATTGCGAGTGTTCTGAAAGATGGTCTATTTTGTGAAAAAAGTACATCTAATATTTCTCACCAATGTCATATACGAATCTAACCATTTCTTTGCGTCATGATAATAAAGTAATTATATGTTTGACTTTTTATGTACATTTTATACAATTCAACATACCGCCAGTAGATAAGTTTCTCAAGTAAATTAACTTTCAATTATAAGTGTACAAGCAGGAATAAATATAAATAAAGTAGACTGTTGAAAAGCAGATTTTATTCGTACTATCTGCAAGTTAATATTTTACCTGAAGGTGTTCATCAAGTAGCAGAAGCCTTCTACTGTAACTGAGCGCTGACGTTTCAAGCAGCGTTAGAAGATTTTAAATTATATCACTAACACGTCCTTTTTTCACATTTGTTAATACTGAACAATTTGGCCACCTTTTCGCATGTTTGAACTTATGCTGCCACCCTAATTATCGATTGCGATGTGTTCATTTGTTGTTGTAGCACTCTTGCAAGGTTATGTGATATGTAGAGAGGAAGTAAGGTAAGATCGTATCAAATGTGAGTGACAGCATCCTCTCCTAACGGAAGTTTTGTTTGTGTGTGGACAGGGATCGTGCGATGTTATCGTAATAAAAGAAGACTTAACAATATAAATTTTTCTGCTTATTCCAATTATTGTTTAAGGAAATAACATATTTCTGCTGTCATTATTTCACCTCTTCGAAGAAAGCAATATAAATCGAGGCTCAGATTTTACTAACACGAAAAACAACAACAATAAGCGCCTTGCTTTCTACTTGGTTTTTTGATCTTTCAAAAGTGAAATGTAGGTACCAAACTCATGTCTTCTATCTAGAAGTGCCCACTCATTCCTTTAGCTGTTTGCTAATCGAAAATTTCACCATTGTCGCTCATCCAATCTTCGTTCCACGGAGTGTAGATTTCCCGGCCCAAAACGTCGGCCTCAACATCCAGAAATAGAGCCATCGCGCTTCCCTCCTCCCAGCTCGTTAGGGCCGTCGCGCAGGCGAGTGAAGAAGTGGGGGGGGGGGGAGACTTGAGGTCGCCACGACGCAGCGCGGCGCGAGCGCGAGATGCAGCGAATGAGGAGGGGAGAGACGCAGCAAACAAAAACGAAGCTCGACGCGCGGTCGCGGCGTCACGCGAAAAGCTCCTTTGGAGGCGGCGGTTGACACTTCTATGCAAACAAAGGTGTGTATGGCAAGGAAGATGGAACTGGGGAGGGAATGAAGAGAGAAAATGAGAAATGAGGCGAGTATTATTGAGAGAGTTCGGACTATACTAAGTTTAAGGCGTGCATATGTTGGTTACGAGTTCCTAGTTAGGGATAGATGAGAGTACTCACATGTCGTTATGGTATATTAATGAAAACCTTTGTTTACCGAGTTTCTGTATTTGGCGTTATACACATTCGATTATCTATGATAAAATGTAAAAATGATTCACGAGTAGTTTTTTGGTAGGCAAATGACATTCTTTGGGGAGACAAAAAAGAAAATTGACGAGGTGCAAGTGTGTTTGCGGAGGCAGACGGACGTTTGAAGCAAAGGCGATTGGTGGTACAAGTGAAAACGCACAACGAAGGCGGCGGGCAGCGAACAGCAAGGAGCACGGAGCGGGGAGTGGAGCGGCGAAGTGGAGCGGGGATTAGACAGAAGAGAATAGGGGCCGGGGATCTGACCGTGTGAGGAGGGGCGGAGTGGGTCAGGACGATGAGGGGGGATGAGGGACAGGTCGGCAGAGAGGAACGGGGGCCGAGGCGGGGCGGCGGGAAGCGGGGATTTGGCGGCGGGTGAGGTGCGACGCGGGGCGGGGCAGGGCAATTGTGGGGGAGAGGGAAAAAATAACGGGGAGCGAGGCGGTGTGGCGGGGAGCGGGATTTGGCAGAGGGTGAGCGTGTGACGGGCGGGGCGGGGCAATGAGGCCGGAGAGGGACGTGTAGGCCAGCGGGGGAGGAGACGGGTGAGAAGGGGGGCGGGCGCGCCACCTGCGAGGCCGCCTGGCCAGATAGCATCGTCGCTTCCGCGTGGGGCGTCTGTTTCACGGTGCGCGCCCTGGACGCGGCCGCGGGCGCGAGCGCTGTCTCGCTCCGAGAGCCAAACCGCCGGCCAGCTTCCTTCCCCCCGCTGCCTCCGCTGCCCCCGCCCCCGCCGCGCTGCTCGACGCCGCTCTCGCTCGACTCGCAGGTGCCACAGATGACCACAAATTCAACACTACCGAGTATGGCAGATTCATTCACTTATTTATTAATTTTTATTTATTTATTGATTTATATATTTCTTTACTTATTTATTTACGTCAAAAACAGTTAAAGTCGGTATGTGACGTGCTATGGGCAGAAGATAATTTGAAGTTACATTTATATAACTCGATATTGGTCGATTCAATTTTGTGTATTGATATTGTAATACTGTTTTTTTTTTCTGCGCCAGAATCACGAAGTATCAAAAATGGTGAAGAACGAATGTATTTTGTAAAGTAACAGTAGCAAATACTCTTGATTAATATGACCGATAATAATATTCCAAGACTAATATTTTGAAAAATATTTAACAGGTCATTGCGAGTTTCCAAACGCTAAGATATATGGTGGTAAACAGCAATCTTATTCTTCTAAATGACCTGACCAACGCCATGTTTTGCCGGCCTGGAGAGCCGAGTTCGCTAAGGCTGAAGGGCCATAGCTGCCTCGGTTCGAATGGTCGTACATTCGAGTCCCGCCTGCGACAGATGGATGTATGTATTCATGTTGCCCTTACAGTTAATCCACTGTTAAAAATTGTAGTGGTAGCTCTATGATCGACTAGTTAAAAAGATACCTTAAAATAAAAATAAATACGAAACACATCTTTTACAAAAATAGTTTATAAAAAATTGATGTGACAGATCACGTTTTAGTGTTATTATTAATGCATGTTTCCTACAATTATTCTCTTAGAGAACAAGAATTTTTAACTAGAATGTTTTTATAATTGTATCTTATTTTTTCTCCAAAATTAACATGGCTTATTTTAACTAC